GTACATTGTGAGACAGGAAATGGTAGAGAGAAACAAGCCCTATAACATAGGATACAACATTTTAATGAACAGTGCTTTCCATAAAATCAATAAAATGAAAAATATACGAAATACTATACAATAAACAGTTAAAAAAAAGAGAAAGAGAAAGAGAAAGAGAAAGAGAAAGAGAAAGAGAAAGAGAAAGAGAAAGAGAAAGAGAAAGAGAAAGAGAAAGAGAAAGAGAAAGAGAAAGAGAAAGAGAAAGAGAAAGAGAAAGAGAAAGAGAAAGAGAAAAAGAAAAGGAAAAGGAAAGGAAAAGGAAAAGGAAAAGGAAAAGGAAAAGGAAAAGGAAAAGGAAAAGGAAAAGGAAAAGGAAAAGGAAAAAGAAAAAGAGAAAGAAAAAGAAAAAGAAAAAGAAAAAGAAAAAGAAAGAGCCAGAGACATCTTCCTCAGGCTGAAATACCAATGAATCTGTTGTTTTGCGTACATCTTTTGCAATGCACGCAACCTCTAGGTTACGCCAATGGTCTGACAGTTTATATGCGATAATAAATGATTAATTAATGTACCGCATTGTTAAGACAGTTATTATTTACTTCAACAAAACTCACCTCCTTAACAGCACTTATGGGACATAAAGGGCCATTACTACCGCTTTCCCGTTCAAAATATTTTAATAAAGTTGCGATGAGTTTTTTCCCACGGCTATTAAGCTAACTTAGACACTTCGCACTAAAAGAGGTACTAAGAAAAAAAAAGGTAATTAGTAAACATTTTTAAGCTTAAAGTATCACAACACTATTTATTTAAACCAAAAACTTAAAAACGAAAAAAAAAAGTGTCAAAACGAATGATAGTGTCAGGAAATAAATAAATAAATGACTTGACATGTTTTTACAGCAAAGCTACCACCTAAATCTCCAGCGCGAAATTTAGATTCCAGTTAGTCAACCTGGCGCCGAATATATCGATAGTTGGCAACAATGAACTTAAAAATCGCGCCCTCGATTACGTAACTAAAAGTTTAATTGATGTCAAATATATATTCCCGACTTAAAAGGTAGGTCTGTATACAATAGAACCATTCAATATTAAATCATTTCAGAAATAACGTAATTATTCCAATAAGCTTCTGCTTGTAGCACCTTCAATGATCTAACCTCTTAAATCTTTTTAAGAACAACCGATCTATTGTTAATTAAATACACTTGCGCCGACCTCATTAATTGCAAAATTGCGTTTTTGTTTCGTTTGAGAAAAATTTGAGAGCGATGAGGATGCTGCAACACGAAGAGTCGGTTGCCTAGACAACAACCGTCCTTGGCAGTGCCGTAGGAGACCTAAGATAAAGCTGGAATTAAAACCAATTAAGTAAATAATTAAGTAATAAAATTAAATTAAATTTTGTGGAATACCACCCAAAATACACACTTATATGCAAATGCCCAATAATGTTAACGCCCCTTAACATTTATATATGTAAGAATTGAAGAAATTTTGAATCTATCCAACAATTCATGTGGTCTTTTTTTAATAAAAAAAATAAAAAAATATGCATAAAAATTTGATTTTCTTAGCTTTAAATAAAATGTTCTTGGTGCTTACGCGATCGTGCGATCCTTGGAAAAGAGAAATAGAAAGAAAGAGAAACAGAAAAAAAAGAAAAAGAAAAAAAAAGAAAGAAAAAGAAAAAGAAAAAAAAAAAGAAAAAAAAGAAAAAGAAAAAAAAGAAAAAGAAAAAGAAAAAGAAAAAGAAAAAGAAAAAGAAAAAGAAAAAGAAAAAGAAAAAGAAAAAGAAAAAGAAAAAGAAAAAGGAAAAGAAAAGGAAAAATAAAAAATAAAGAGCCATAGACATCTTCCTCAGGCTGATATACCAATGAATCTGTTGTTTTACATACATCTTTTGCAATGCAGGCAACCTCTAGGTTACGCCAATGGTCCGACCGTTTATATGCGATAATAAATGATTAATTAATGTACCGCATTGTTATTAAAGAGATTCGCAATGATGATTACACGAAAATTCCGTGTTCTAACGCACATTGTTGATGTAGCACGTATATGGATATCGTCCCGCAGTATCTGATGTGTGTACAATAAAGGATTAAGGATATCCTTCTATCGCGATGAGGCTAGTGGATTTTCCTCGATCGAGGATTCGCTGTTGAAATTTGATTAATTTTTACTATAAATTACACTTGACACATCTTATTTTTCACTTTGAATAATCTTTTTAAACTTTATTGTTCCAAGTAGCTGATATTTTTTTACATATTTGACGTGCAAGTATTATTTAATTTAATACAGGATCTATTAATACTACATATCTACGTATATTACACATTATTTTTAAATCCATATTTAACTATATGGTAGACGTTTTCTTTCTATGCAGTTGTAAATATTAGTATTTTTTGCCGTTAACAGGAAAACGAACTTATAGTCCAGAAAAACGCTTTTCCGTAAAACTATTTCCATTAATAACAAAGAAAGAAAAAATGGTGTCAAAATGTTATATTATATTGACTAGTACTGTATGATCGAAAAAAAACGACGTCAAAGACTGCTGGTGAATGACAATCCATGATAGTTTCGGCGAGGTCAATCTCTAGACGCCATTTATCAAAAAATGACACATAGAACTTGTCAAAAATTAACACTAATTATAAAAAAGGATTAGAATGTTTCAAGACGACACATAAATCTATTTCCAATTATTTCTCGAATTTTAAACTACACAATTTAAAAAGCACTTTTACTCAATATAAAAATAAATAACAACCTTCTTCTTCCATCAAAGAACAAAGAAGAGTACGGGCCTAACTAACGACGTCTAGGGCTTAACCTCGCCAAAATTGACATCGATTGTTATTTCCCAGCCGTCTTAGACGCGTTTTTTTATCGTATGGTATAAGAGATTCACTCCGAAAATTATAGAGTGTATTTATTTAAAAATAATAACTATATGATTGGCATTTGCACGGATTTACCGATTAGAAAGTTACTTAATAAACATATACACATTCGCATTTATATTGCTAAAAATAATTCGAGATACCAATAGGTATATCGATATATTATTTATAGATTAATTTGTTTATTTATAGTAATTATTTTATTGGAAATACCTTTTCGAAGATTCAAGTTGTTTTTTTGGGCTATTAAGTTCTTGCGTGTAATTCTGGTATAATTATATATAACTTCTTAATTCTATAATGTTCCCTATATATTTAGTAAAAAAAAATACCAAAAAAACTAACACACAAGCGGATGTAGATAATAATTTTTAAGACCCTCAAATGAAGCCTGAAGCGACAGATGAGTACAATAACATTGGCTTCTTAATTTTTTGCAATAACATTTTGCTATACCGAGTGTTTCACAAAAATGGCTAAGCCCTATAACTTTTTGTTTATTTGTTTTCGGTCACTTCCTGTTTCACCGGAAATGACTACAATTTTTGATTTTTAAACGACATTCTCGGTATTTTTTTACTTTATTTGATAGAAAATGATATTCTGAACAGAATGACATATTATATGTCAACAATGGTCATTCCCACCCGCCTTTGACGCCGTTTTTTTCGATTGTGGTACTAAAGTATATAAAAAAACTGGGTTTAAGAATTAACATTCGTATATTTATATAGGGTTAAGTGGGGGTAAAAATGAGACAACGACATATTTAGGTAAAAAATGAGACATTCAAATAAAACTACTGAAAACTTATATATTCAGTCAGTTTCGTGTTACGAACATTTAACAATAATTGTTAACATATCATCCCCATAATTTGACTATCAAACTTTTGTCGCGTGACGTAGAATAGACATGTCCGTTTAAATTAAGTCCTTTTGGTTTGAGAAGCTATTATATTAAATTTAAATATGAGACAACTTAATAGCATGTATATTTTTAAATTTTACTAATAACTCATAAACTAACAAAAAAAATGTAAAGAAACCAAACAAGTATACACAAAAAAATATTAAAAGGGCTGCAAAGTTAATCAGTAGCGGAGATGTAAAGCAGCTAAAGCTTTTCATACTGTTCAGAACTGTAGGTGACTGTAGTTACTGAGATAAATAATGTTTTAAAGAAAGACATTGTTTCAAAATTACCACCATCAAATTTGTAAGGCGGGACTTTCAGGACTGGTGTGATGTTTGTTCTTTCAATAGATTTTGAGAAATATTTAGGTCGTTAATTTGTATATGTGTATTTTTTCACTCTGTAAGTGACACTACTAATATTTTAGTGTCACGTATCAACTACATGTTTTTCTACTTTTTTAATTTAATATGATTGTTTTATATTTTCAGTTTATAAATGTTTTGCGACGGTTTTTTTATTTAAGTTCTCCTAATAAAAAAGATAAATTTCTATGTCTAATTTCTATCCTTCTACCCTCATCTTTACTTCAGCAATTAATATAAACGATAGCAGGGCCTTTAAACGTGCGTTTTGTTACTACTGTCTCATATTCAACTCAAAATGTGTTATGTAGGTTAAATAGAGACACACTTTTCAAACCGACTTTTTAGGGATACTTTTGGTATATTTTTACTTTTACAATAGTTTCGTTACCACCAAATGCCGTTTACAGAATAAAAACTGTTGTATTTAAATGGTTGTAACTAAGAAATAAACTGAAGGTTTTGAAAACTATCTCAATTTTACACCATTTGACCCTACAGGTTGCTAAAAAATATGAAAAATATTTTTTTTTTGCATTTGAGAGTATAAATTACCCAAAAATCAATTCTCGCAAATCTGTAATCGAGGCGTTTCAACACGTTTAACCAATCTTTCTCTATTAAACGGCGTAAAAGCGGCACAGGTCATGACTGCCAATCATCCCGAGCCATCTTCCACTCTCGACGCTTTGACGATAATTGGTCCAGGCTCACTCACACACGCTCAAACCTACGGCCCCGGGGCTAATACGTTCGTCAAGCCGTCAAGTGTATGTTTTTTAGCCCATACGCGACTCATCCTCAACGGTTTTGGGGGGAGATCCGGCGATAAGCCATTATAAAAGACAAAAGATGAGCCCGGTGCATCACATTTTGTCGTGGTGCATCCGAAACATCGTTTTTTTGCGCAGATATAGAGTCGAAGACGACGTCATGAAACAAGTAAGGTTCAGTTTCAGTTTCAGTCGTATAGTAGGTTAGGGGGGTTGTTTTTTGCGTTTGGGGGGTTGATAGTGTTTTGGAGTGGTGGTTATGTGCGAGGGATGTCGTGCTATAGTGAAGAATATTGTGGATAAAAAATTGTGGTGTTTTTGGTATACAGTATGTCTCCCAGATTGTTTTTACAAGAGGAGAATTTTTTTATTATTAATGAGATTTTAAGAAAAATGCACTCTTCGTAAAACATGTTGCTTTGTTGGTAAATCCCATTTATACTTTTCCAAATTTCCTTACAGTTTTAGAGAAAATAAAAAAAAACAAGTTCTAAAAAATTAAAAGCCCTATCTGTGATGATATAATTATTTCGATTTCAATCTTTGATAGATGGTTATTTTTTACTATTGTTAAACTATCAACATTTTCCGATAAATTATTATCACTTTTTCCGTAGCATTGAACTAAATAAATTTTTTGCTTCTTTAATATTTTAAAACAGCAAAAAAAATGACGTTAATTAAAATTCTACCAAACAATGAAAACGAAATTATATTATCATAGAAACGCGTTTTGATTTTTAGGACTTGTTTTTTTTTAATTGTTTTCTATAACGGTATGGAAATTTGAAAAAGTATAAGCGGAATTAACAATTTTAGAACAAGCAATTTTTTTTTTGAAAAATTCATTTTTCCCAAAATTTTAATAATAAAAAGGTTTGTCCTCTTGCATAGACAATCCGGGAACATACTGTATATTTATATTTTTGGGTATTGCATAATTACAATTAATAGATATATCACATGTACTATTTCTCTGTGTGGTTCTGAGCATGGAACCTACACCACATTATAGAGAGTTAACTATATAGGGTCTACCAGAAATATTTTTTATTATTAAACACAATTTAAAAATTTGCGATTATTTTTTATTTTTGAATTTTTTAAAATCATAATTAGTTTTGTTTTTAATTTTTGTTATATTTTATCGAAAAATGTTGAATATTGTCAAAGAGTGTAAAATTACAGCGTTTTATATCTTTTTAATTTCCTGCCTAAATAAGAAAAAATAATGAAAGGTTGTATGTATTTTCTTCCAAATGGGTTATGATTTTTTGATGATATTCAAAATTTTTCAATAAAATGTCGCAAAAAATATATAAAAAGATAAATTAGAAAAAAAAAATTTTTTGCCATTGATTAAAAAATTAATTATTTGTATTTAATATATCTATTAATAACTATGTCCTATTTTAAAATAATTTAAATTTATCAGTTATAATAATATAATATTATAATTAAATATCAAATTAAATTAATATAGTAAAATTATGAAGTTTGAAAATTATTTCTGAATAATTTATTTCTAAAGAAAATATCTCTAAATTTCTAGTTTTGGTATAAAAAATATAGAAAAATTGACATTTAATAGCAAAATAGTTGCAAAATGTATAGAGAATACAGAGTTCCAATAAAAAATAAAACAGTTAAAAAACTCTAGATTCCTATGTAATAATAGAGTAATACTGCAAATATATCTTTCAAAAAAAATAGAGCAAATATTTAGTATTTTTTATGAAAACGACAATTAAGCTTAAAAAATAATACCTTGAAAATTTTATAAAAAAATATAACAAAATTGAAAAAAAACCTTTTTTTTATTTAAATATTACTTACTATGTTAATATAACAATTAAATAATAATTCATTGCAGCTGTATAAGAAAATAAAATCAAGTATTTATTTATCAAGTTTATGAATACCTTCCTTCAAAAAAAATTATCGTTAATAACCGAATTTCAATATATTTAAATGTCTATTTTGTAATGTTTTGGAGTCTTAAGAATTGTTACTTAAAAAAATAATAAATTAAAAAACAAACTAAAGAGAAAAATTGAATGAAATAAAATAAAATTAACAAACGTAAAAACAATACATATCAAATTGTAATAAATAACATTTCATTAAATTCACCCAAGTCAAGATTATTTAACAAAAAAAATTGTTTTCTATTCTTCAGGCCCTCATCTCGCTGGCCTTATTTGGCCTGTGCGCCTGCGCGCGCCTCGACAACCTCCAGTACCTCCCTCCCTCCCAGAGACCCTCTGGAGGCGCTCCGGGAAGGTGGCGCCGGAGGTTACCCCGGCGGACAAGCTCCAGCTTCGGAGGCGGCGCTCCAGGATTCGGAGGACGCCCTCAAGGACCTGGAGGTGCTCCAAGCTTCGGAGGAGGCGCTCCAGGATTCGGTGGAGGTGCTCCAAGTTTCGGAGGTCGTCCTCAGGGAGCTGGAGGAGCGCCAGGTTTTGGAGGAGCCGGTGGAACTCCAGTATATGGAGCACCAGGTGGAGGAGCCGGAGGTAAAGGATTCGGAGGTGCTCCAGGCTTTGGAGGTGGAGCTGGAGGTGCTCCAGGATACGGTGGAGGTGCAGGAGGTGCTCCAGGATTCGGTGGAGGAGCTGGAGGTGCTCCAGGATTTGGAGGACAAGGAGGATACGCCGGAGGTTAGTATATCAGGCAGTTATTTAAAAAAGATCTCTTGGAGATATACAGACAGCAATAGTTACGGAACAGTTTGCCAGTATCAAAACGTGTAGAGTGCAGATATAAAGAGAATTATCTTCATATATAGAAAAGTGGAAATCAAAGAGGGTACAATTAGTAATAATTATAACATTCCTTTAAAGATTTTTTTATAAACGTTTTTAATACACCACAGAAAAGGCAGTGTCACCCTTCAAATTTTTAATACAAGACTTAGCTTCAAAGAAAATATAATTGAATTTACAATTAAATTAATTGTTTTCGGTTCTAGTAATACGAAAATCTAATAAATTCTAAAAATAAATGTAATGATGTAACGATAAATTAACACTTTAAACGCTTACCGCTATATCCTATTTGTTGTTATTAAAATATATAAATAAAAAGTTCCGTAAGTGTATGTTTTCAAATTTTCACAAGAATCATTTGGTAATATTTTGTGGCAATACTTTGAAAACTACCAATATGTTCAATTAGTAAAGACATTTCAAGATATACAACCAAATAAGTAGGCATATTTTTCAACTACACTGTTGTTATTAAAGTACTACAATACACTATTTTAGTATATTTTGACCCCAGAAACACGTCTATGAAGATTTTTTGCAAAAAAATCATAAAAATATATAATTTTCAAAAAATGTTTTTGATTGTTCAGTCAAAAAACGAAACATCTTAATAATATGGCATATTTTTTTCAAATTTTTAAAGTAAAATAACTCTTTTTTTACTTATTTGAAAAAGGGTAAAGAGAAAATCTGTTTCTTCTACCGAGATCTACCAACCCTGAAAATATGTGCTCTTATTCAAGCCTCGCCCTGTATGTATTCATCCTGTTTGTTTAATTTCAAACCTACATTTAGTTGCAACAAAGCCAATATTGAAAGAGATTTATTTTTTTCTAGATATACTTTTGTTTTTAAGGATATATTCTCAAAAGACAAAAGTCTTCCACCACAAAAAAACTTGTAAAAAATAGCAATTTTATTATTATTATCTACAATCAAATTTGGTACACAACAAAGTAAATGATGAATTAACTAAAACTTTAAAGCAACAACAGAAATTGAACAGTTACTGAAACACGTTTAACTATTACTTCTTGGTAAAATTAAACTACCCAATTGAGTTGGATTCATTTCATATCCCTTTTGTGTATTATTTTGAATAGATTATTTTTCTTTTTGAGTAATTTATTAATGATGTGACATTAATAAGCATCATTTATACCGTATGATCGAAAAAAAAGGTTGTCAAAGACGGTTGGGAATGACAATCGATAATAATTTTCTCGAGGTCAATCTCTACGCGTCATTTGCTAAAAATTTACATAAAACTTATCAAAAATTAAAACTTATTATAGAGGAAGATTAAAAAAAGAATAGAACGTTTCCATGCAGCCACACAATTCTATTACCAAAAAAAACTACACCAACTAAAAATATTTTTTACTCAAATGACGTCTAGGGTTTGACTTCGCCAAAATTATCATCGATTGCCAATCCCAAGCCATTTTTGACGCCGTTTTTCTTTTCGATCGTATGTTAATATAGTAAATGAATTTATTTAAATCCTGACATTTATAGCAGGAGGTAAAGCAGGAGCAGGATCTGAAATACCAATCCTTCGTTTGGAGAATGTCAATGAGGGTGACGGTACCTATCACTACAGCTACGAAACCGGCAACGGAATCAGCGCAGAAGAACAAGGAGACGCCAGAGGGGACGGAACTAAAGCCCAAGGTATTACTATTCTTTAAAAAAATATTTTTTTTATTAATCATTTAGATTTTGGAGATTAAAATCGATAATTTTTTGTTCCAGGATCTTTTGGATACACTTCTCCCGAAGGAGAGCAAATTCAGCTCCAATACACCGCCGACGAGAATGGATTCAACCCTCAGGGAGCTCATTTACCCACCCCACCACCAATCCCACCAGAAATCCAGAGAGCAATTGAACAGAACTTGGCTGATGAAGCTAGAGGTACGTAAAAACACCTTTTAAGCACTAATACACAAAAATAAGTCAATTACCTTCATCATCATCACCATTTTCAGCTTGTTCAACCATTTCAAATTAAGTTATAGCCGAATTATAGTTGAGATATTTGCATCCAGTTACTGTGGATACGCCTTAAGTCGTTATGCCATCTCGTTGGAGGACGACCTCTGCTCCTGAATGCATCATGTCATGGTCTCCATTCATCTTGGTCTAAGACAATGTCATCAGCAAATCGCAGGTGGTTCAAGTTTTCGCCATTTATATTTATACCCAACTCGTTCCATTCTATCTGTTTGTACATGTCTTGGAGCAAATTATTATATAATTTTGGAAAAATGGTGTCGCTTTTTCTATGTGGGAGTTTTTAGTATCTTTATGAAACCAAGACAAGCTGTAGCGTTCTCATATATACGTTTAATCACTGTGATTTACCGATGATCTGTACGAGAATCAACTAGCGATTTTAACATTTTTTGTTGGCCGATGGTATCAAAAACACTAACGGTCTATTGTATTCGACCGATTTCTCAATTATATATTTAGATTTATATATTTAGATAATCTATCTCTAATGATGCTCATTGTAGTCTATTGTTAGGTTAGGTTAGGTTTGGTTTATTAATGTCCGTTTTAAGCGTATTGGTAGCCGATTGGTAGTATCCACGGATCGAATGTTTTCTTCTATAGAAAATGTGACATTCTAGATTTTAATATGACTGATTTTTATCAATAATACAACCAGTTACACCACTAATAGAATCTGTATTTTAGGCATCGTAGACGATGGATCGTACCAACCAGGACCAGAAGAGGGCGGTGCCGGTGCCGGAGGATATCAAAGAGGAGGTTCCGGAGGAGGGTACCCTAGCGGAGGCGCTGGAGCCGGAGGTTATCCAAGCGGAGGTGGCAGACCTGGTGGTTTCCCCAGCGGTGGTCAAGGAGGATACCCAGGAGGTAATTAACAGATTTACTAGATTTTATTTCCCATTTTTTTATCTTCAAGATTTTTAGTACACACTACAGGGTGTGTCTTAAGTAAGTTATTCGGGATTGAAATGGAAATAGTTTGGATATGGCGTTTGTCGCCTCAGCCTGAATATCTGTTGGAAATTTACTTATTTCCTTTTCCTTTTTTTTGCCGATCTTAATATCTGCCTACCTGTTGTTATGATCGGCTAAAAAATATTTGTTTAATATAAATATTTTTAAATTATAGGTAGAGGAACCGGATTTGGAGGAGGTGCTTCAGGTGGAGGCGCTGGAGGATACCCCAGCGGAGGACCTGGAGGTGCATTCCCTGGGGGTAGTTTTATAAAAACAATACAATAAAAATCCATTTTAACGATCATTTTCCTTAATTTATAGGAAGCAAACCTGGATTTGGTGGAGGCGCTCCAGGAGGTGGATACCCTAGCGGAGGTCCAGGAGGTGCATTCCCTGGAGGTAGAATTATCAAAAAATACAATAAATAATTAATTTTTACCACTATTTTCTTTCTTTATTAATAGGAAGCAAACCTGGATTTGGTGGAGGCGCTCCAGGAGGTGGATACAAACCTTCAGGAGGTGTGGGAGGACTTGGATCAGGACAATCTGCTGCAGGTGGTGGATATAGATATTAAAAAATTTGTACATAAGACAAAGAAAAGCATGATACTGATTTTAAGAACTTTTATTCTCTTGGCATGCACTTTTTAAAATAACACAAAAATATTTTTTTTGCCGAGAAAATAAATAATAATATGCATGTTATTTTAAGTTAATCAGAAAGAGTACAATTTTAAATATAAAAAACTCAATTTAAGGGAAACAAATATATATATAGGGTGAAACAATTTTAAGAAATAAGGCAATAAAGAATACCTTTTAGACAAAAAATAATATCAGGGTGATCTGAAAATATATATAGAGGATTAGAAGCAGATCAAATTGAGGTACTTCTTGACACACTCCACTTAGTGTGATACCTAATTAAAAATCTATGAAGAAAAATGAACAAAATCCTTATTATAATCATTGTTTCCTCTCCAGTCCTAGGATATATATATTTTTTAACAGTATTTTTAGTCCAAAATGTATTCCTAATTGATTCTCTTCAAATTTTCACCCTGTATACAAAACAATTCTTGCCATACACGACGAACTCTATGTATTAATTAGGATATAATCTACTGCCTACTTTGCTTTGACGGTTTACCACATATGCTGCCATTTTTCTTAACTGTAAACGAATCAAACGAGTGATTGGTAAACGGAAAACTAAAATCTGCATGTCATAGTGGTATGAATACAAAAAGCTTGTTGCATGATCTTGAGGTGAACGCTGTGTTTTATTTTGTATTTACACCGTTTTTCTTGTGTATATACCTTGTGCAATTTTGTGTATAAAACGCTGAATAATATACGTTTTTTTTTGTAATTAGTTAGTTTGTTTTATTATCCTTAGTTAAGGTGCATTCCTTTGAATAAGAAGATTAAGTAAGAAGGACCATAAGATCGAAAAAAAAGGCGTCAAAGACGGCTGATAAGTAAGTAAATGACGTTTGGAGATTGACCTCGCCAAAATTATCTCGATTGCCATTCCCCAGCCATCTTTGACGCCGTTTTTTTTCGATCATACGGTATAATGCTATCTATGAATTTATGCATTACAGACAGAACTGACATCATGAACCCTCACTTTTGACACGAACCCTCTGAAGTTCTGTTTGACGTTTGAATTAGATTTAAAATTTTGCGAATTTGTTGCTTTTCTGAACTTAATAAAAGTTGATAAATTAAATCATGATATCAAACTACAAAGCATTATTATGCAAAAATATTCATCTTTTTGTATATTTTACCAGTATATTATCAAGAATTAAAAAATATGAATTGCAAATGAGTTTTATTGGTGATAAAACTTGAATAAAAATGTCCTCAACGAGAATTATCTATTCATAATTCTGTTTAAAATAGATGAAAAGTATAAAATATATATTTTGTTAATACCGGTAGGTGTGAAAACATCAATCATTAATTTTACTCTGATTTACTTATCAAACTGAATAAAAATCTTATATTCCTCTAATATACAGTGTTGTTTACTCTGCCTAGGCATAAAAGTAAAGAACTTTTACGCCAGACCTGCAAATTCAGGAAAGTTTTCTATTACGGTACGGTTCCTAAAAAATTCTTTTGTAATAATATTTTGTATTTACATCCAAAAGCAATGGAGGTAGGCAGTAAAGGTAAATAAATTTCATTAACTAAATAGAATGACTTTTTAGGACCATTTAAACTTATCATGCAGCCATTGTTTCTTAAAGTCAGGAACATTTAAAGAAAACATAAAAAACAAGACAACAAGTAATCGTGAATGTTTTGTAAGCTATAAAAATATAAATATTGATTAGATTTATTTATTTATTATTGATCTATTTTAATATTGGACTTGCAAATCTTCACCTGAGCTGTCTAACGAGCTTAACAGTTTATTAATAAAGTACTTTTCAGTATTAAAATCGATTGAAAAGAAAAAGCAAACGCAAAATTAGAGTACATGTAGAGGGTGGGTCAAATTCGACGCTTTAAATGGAAACACCCTTTTCTATATGAGATAGACGAAAACTAATATCGGTGTCTGGAGCTCAATTTTCATCAAAAACATGATGGTGGAAACCGCACATCAATATCTGTTACCGTTTCTGGAGTTACGGGGTGTTTTTCAAAAATGTGCATTTTAACAAATCGCTGTAACTTTTTTGCAATGGAAAATTTTGTATTTCTATGAAAACATTTTCTAAGCACCTTTTTACGTAGAATTTAATGGTTTAAGTATAATTTTTTTAAAATTAATAATTTAAGAATAATCAACAGAAAAATTTATTTTTTATTTGGGACACCCTCTATATTTTTAATTAACTGGAAAGAATTTAAAATTACCTTTCCAAAAGATATAGCACATTGATATTTTGTTATAATCCCCTTCGAAATACAGAATATTTAAACGTTGGCCACTTTTTAACTAGTAGGCTTTGGACCCCTTATTGATGATATGCTTTTAATGGAACTCGAAAACATATTTTTCCAGCAAGACGACGCACCGCCTCAGAACACTGAAGTTATAAGCAAATGTTTGCAGCCAATTTCAAGAATAATTGAATAGCTAACCAAGATCCCAGCCGTTGGCCGTCGAGGCCGCCTGACTTAGTGCCCATGGATCTAATCCTATGGATATATTTGCGGAAGAATAAAGGTTCCATATTCTTCCGTATAATCTAGACAAGAATTAGATATACTTAGCAGTTATGAGAGGGTATCTTTCACCCCCACTGAGTTAATGAATTCCGCGAGAAATGTTCAAAAACGGCCCCATCTGTCCATAACAGAAAACGGTAGATATGTCACCTGTAGCAAAGAGGGTTAGGTGAATAAAAACAAGGAAATACTTATAAGAGTTTACTATCGAGTAAAGTATCTGCTCGCCCAAGATGTGCATAAGAGAGTGCTTTTACTTGTGAGAGTTTACTTTTGTTGCGCGCGACTTTACTCACAAGTAATTACTCGTTAGATCGTTATTCACGTCGAATGTTTATATTTACGGTCAAACGATGTATCAAGTCATTCTGGCGTTTACAGAGTTAGTTTGGAACCGTTCAAATTTTTTTGCCAGATATTTTTATTCTTCTCAAGAACAAAATATATACATAGCAGTAATATCTTCAGCTTCTGTACTGGCTTTTTTTATTTCAATATGGGTACAATCAATTGCACTCACCACTGTGGGTATTTGGAATTTCGAGTTCCATTTGGTTTTCGCAGTTTTTATTTCTTCAGCGTTTGATGGGAATTTAATCCAGTCGGGAGATCTATTGGTGATAGAGTCCATAACATTACTTATTGTTTTACAAATTGTCGTTCGATCAACTCCGAAATCATAAGCAACACCACTCTGATATCCCGGATCACTGAGATAGCGTAAGAAAATTTCCATTTTCATCCATTTGTTAGTGCCCCACCTCGATTTTCAATGACATCATTATTTAGAAAATAATCACTTATGAAATCAACACTGTCACTGGTGAATCTTAAAACTTTTTACAAGCATTGTGGCTTATATTTTTATGTTCTCTATAAGTTTTTCTCGTACGTACATGCATAAAAGCAGCCATAATATCATGTCTTGGTTTGCTATTTATTTTTATTGTTATTAGATATAGTTTAAATGTGTTGATGTTGGTTAAATATATTTTAAATTGTTATAAAATTCTGCATCTCTCATAGCAAATATTATTTTCGTTTTAATTGATTCTCACAGCTAGAATTTTTTGCATTACAGCCGGTGCCGTTCAAAGCCTACTTAATTAAAGCGGGCGAATTTTTATATACTCTATATCTCGAAGAAGAATCGAGCAAAATATTAAGTGTGTTATATTTTTGGAAAGGTAATTTTAAATTCTTTTCAATAAATTAAAAATATACAGGGTGTCTCATATAAGAAATCAAATTTTCTGTTGATAATTCTTAAATTATTAATTTTTAAAAAATTATACTTAAACCATTAAATTCTACGTAAAAAGATGCTTTGGAAATGTTTTCATAAAAATACAAAATTTTCCATAGCAAAAAAGTTAAAGCGATTTGTTAAAAATGCATATTTTTGAAAAACACCCCGTAACTCCGAAACGGTAACAGATATCGATATGCAGTTTTCACCACCATGTTTTTGACAAAAATTGAGCTCCAGACACCGATATTAGTTTTTGTCTATTTCCTATAGAAAAGGGTGTTTCCGTTTAAAAGCGTCGAATTTGATCCACCCTGTACATTAAGAATGCATAAAAGATACATTTTATAATAGAGGTATTGACATTTAGAACAGTATTTTACCAAACTGTTCCGTATCAAACCGATGTTTTTCAGGAACCGCTCTTTACCGTAGATTACCGGTCTGGTTTGCCTAGTTTTGCAACGGAATACAGCCGTACAAGCTATTACCTTTTTACGTAAATGAATATTTTCATTAGATATTATTATGACAGCTAAATAATACTGTACTATAAAAAAACACCCTATAGCCGAAAATAAATAAAATCGCACTAATAATTTCTTAAAATTTCCTTATATGGCTTAGCAGTAAAAACCTCATAAACTCAACCAGCTCAAATCAGACCCAAAAAATATTAATAATGACGTCCAAATAATCCTGCAGCAAGGCCGTCAACGAAGAAGATCCTGCAGGCTCGGCCTGCTCCATCCTTTATTCTGCAATATAACAAGAACAAAAAAACTGATTGATGAAAGTGAAAAAATCCTCTCCGTGCAGAACAATGAAGATCAAGAGGAAGATCAAGATCATCGAGAAGATGGCCGTGATCGCTTTTTTTCTCACTTGTTTTTCGAGAGGATCAGTTCCGAATTCTGACATTTTTGTGTATCATCACCGGGTTTACAGGTGGGGCAGATCGATATATAACGGGGTTGCGAAAAAATCGTATCATCACACAACAAGTGATCGTGTTTTAGTACCATTGTAGTTTTTGGATAATATACAAATCAAGATGAAACAGGTGAGATACATATAGTAATTTTAAATTTTTCATAAATTCTAAATTTATTTAAACTCCTTAAAGTAAAATTTTATATATACAGGGTGAGGAAAAGAAACATATTTTCTTTAAAGAAACTTTTCTTCAAATAAGTCCAAAATAACCGAGTAATTTTGCTGTTAAATATAAATTTAAAAATATTTTTTTCCTTAAATTTTGAGAACCGCTTCATTTTTTAGGGTTTTCTTACTTGAAAATTTAATCTACTACCTATGTTGCCACATTATCAAGATATTATATTTTTTAACTAAAATTTTAAAGAAAATCAAACAAATTCCAAAATTTTTTGACCGAAGTAAAATATATTTGCCCTTATTTAAGTCCCGCACATAATAATGTTGGTAAGTTATTAACAATTATTTACGTATTTTTTCAGGCTATTGTTATAGCAGCTGTACTCGGCTTTGCTGCCTGTGCCCGTCTGGACAACCTGTATCTTCCCCCTAACCACTCAGGAGGAGGATCATTTGGACCCTCCAATGCACCTTTCGGAGGTTCAGCTTCTGGTCGTAGCGGAGTTAACCCTTTGAACAACGTACCCATCTTGAAATTCGCTGCCGAAAATGAAGGCGAAGGTACTTACAGGTAAAGAACAACCTCAAATGTTTAAAAAATGACATACAGTATGTCTTCGGAATGTTTTTACAAGAGAATTTTTCTACAGGGTGATCCGAACTGTATTCCAGAAACAGATAAAAATGAGTAAAAATGTTCGTATAAATGTATGTTCTGAAATGCTTAGTTTCGAAGATACAGGGTGTAGAAATTTCACTTTTATTTCGATTTTTTCCAAATAATTTCTGAAATAACTTCAATATTTAGATGAAAATTGGTGTCTAGGAGTTTTTTGACATGAGAAATTTGATTTTGATGTCAATATGACTCCTACTTCTAGAGGGAGCCACCTACATATTTTTAACTGGTTTGAAAAGTAATAACTTTTCGTTCGTACCTTTATAAAACTACTGAATGAAAAAATCGCTACAATTAACGGTTCTCAAGATATTTAAAATGGAAATAGTCAATACATGTCATTAATGGCAAAAAATAAACATGTTGAGGAGGTAGTTATTTGACTGAAATGATAAATTTGCGATACTCTTTATTTTTTTAAATTGCCAAATCATAGATTTTTGTTCGAAAAAATGAATCTATGTCAATGAATATTGATAATTTCGATTCCAAATATCTCGAGAACCATTACTCGTATAGCGATTTTTACAAAGAGACCTTTTTTACGTAAAAAACGTCCTAAATAGGTATTTTTATTCAGTAGTTTTATACAGGTACGGACGAAAAGTTTTGACTCTTCAAACCAGATAAAAAAAATATGTAGGTGGCTACCTCTAGAAGTAGGAGTCATATTGATATCAAAATCACACAAATTTTTATTCAAATATTGACGTTATTTCAGAAATTATTTGGAAAAATGGAAATAAAAATGAAACTTCTACACCCTGTATCTCCGAAACTAAGTTATTAGGACATGCATTCATACGATTTTTTTTACTTATTTTTATCTGCTGAGTATGAGCATGAGCTTTCCAGTAATAAGACTGAACATGAGCTTTCCAGTAATGTACCACACAAAGTAGATTTTTATTAAAACAAAATTGAGATGGGGTGAATAAAAAAGTAACTTATACAATTTGACCAATTTGTATTTAAGCGTTTCCTCAATTCTACTTTTGAAACATCGTCATTCTATATCAATATATACCTCTAAAAAATGACTTAAAGTCATATTACCTTCATGTAAAACAGCAGGAATATTAAAAATAGTAACCAAAACACAAATTTCCCCAGATACAACTACGAAACTGGCAACAGCATCAGCGCCGAAGAACAGGGTGACGCTCGCGGTGATGGTACCAAAGCTCACGGTTCTTTCTCCTACACCAACCCAGACGGTGAACATGTCTCCATCACCTACACAGCTGACGAGAACGGATTCGTTCCCCAAGGATCCCATATCCCCACTCCACCCCCAATCCCTGAAGCCATCCTGAAAGCCCTCCAGGAAAACGCCGCAGCTGAAGCTAGAGGAATCTTCGACGATGGTCAGTACCGTGGTGAGGGACTCAACGAAGGACAGTACAAGGGCGAAGGATTGGCTGAAGGTGGATTCAGAAGAAGCGGAGGATCATCGTCCTTTGGAGCAGGAGCAGGGGCTGGTTTTGGTGCTTCAGGTGGAAGGTCCAGTGGATACGCCGCCAATGGTGGATACGCTTCCAATGGTGGATATAGATACTAGAATTGTGCCAAGATTTTGATTTAGATATGTATTTATTATTGATGTACAAATGTATTTATGAATAATGATTCAGTAGGCGTAATAAAAGCCTGGTAAAAGATTTGTTTGTCTTATTTTACTAGAGTTATGTAATGCAAGTTTATTTGAGAATGTGTAATATGTAGATATGGGGGAGGGGGGAGCAAAACTGCGATGCTCCAATGGCAATTGAAACTGCAATTGCGATTTTTAAATCTCTGCGACTGTAACTTGCGATTGCGATTTTCATATTTAAATATTGCACTAGACATTCTATTCAGTGTCATTTTCTATCAAATAAAGTGAAAAAATACCGAGGGTACCGTTTAAAAATCAAAAGTTGTAGTCGTTTCCGGTGAAACAGGAAGTGATCGAAACGAATTGAATACGTCAATCAACCCTAATTTATGTCATATGTTTACATCCCAAATCTCGTTTTTTTATGAGAAATAATAAAAAAGTTATAGAGGCGAACCACTCTTGAGAAATACCCGGTATATTATGATTTTGGCCCTAGAAAAATAATACATTTTCTATAAATAAATAAAATCGAGAAAAAAATCAATCGATAGACAATCTTTAAAAAAGTTTACTATAAAATGTTTTAATGGACCACAAAATTACATTCGCAACAAAATCGCAAATCGCCTCCAACCAAACCAAAACTCCTAAAAGTTCAAACTCGCAGATAGATAGAAGGTTATCACACTGTGATTATCACAGTCCTAGTTTACATCACAATCGCAACTATAGTAATATTGGTTGACTAAACTGAAATCTCGCAAATAGAAAAAATCTCAACCGCAGTTTCCTATGAGAGCCAATCGCAAGTGGCTTGAATCGCAGTTGTAGTTGAATTTGTTGATCATCTCTAGTAATTTGTAACATAAAGAGACATAATCAATATTCTGATCAAATAATGAACAAATAAGGTCTGCGTTGAAATACAATATATATTTTTACAATAATTTTATCATGATTAACATATAACATAAAAAACTTAAAATACAGTACAGAGATATGTTTCGTGTTATTAACTTAAAATAAAGTACAGTGTATATATGTTGTGAAACATTCAAAGAAAACTCTCAAGACTTACGATCGAGAAAAATATAGAATAGTTAGCCAGTTAAACTAAACTCTCTCTAAAACGTTTTCAAATTTATATTTATTAATATTTAAATTTACACTTTTTTTCAAGACTGCATACTCTAATAATTCAGAATTATCGATTTGTGGCATATCGTGTTATTACAATAAGCCCTTCAATTGTTATCCACTTCTTTGACATCGATAAAAGTAAAAAACCAGAGAGTGTACTAAAACTCATTTATGTCTTCAAATGTTGGAGCACCATTGTACCCAGAACTCCATCTTTTTAATTTTCTAACAAAGTTTTGGACAAAAATAACATTATTAACCAACTCTTTGACAGATATATTAGTAAAAATACCAGAGAGTCTACTAGAAGTCATCCATATTTTTAGATGTTGATGAACTGAATCACCAGAAGCAATGTTGTATCCAGAAACCATGAATGAACTGTTTATTTTTTTTAACATTATATTAGACAAAAAAATAATAATTAACCACTTTATTGTCAAAAATAAAGGTAAAAATACGAGATGGTGTACCTCCTGGAGGCTATATGTGTTTTCAGGACCCCAAGACTTTATATTTTTAAGAATATATATGAATTAAATTTAATTAAAGGCTTATTTAATGACACATACCCTTTGATAATGTTTGAACTCTGAAGTCTCAAAGCATTAGCGTAACTAGCAATTTATCCTGGGGTGGATCTGGGAGGGCCTGGGGTTGAGCCCAGGGGAGGCCTAGGGCTTTTGTTTTTTTTAAAAATAAAAAATAATTTTTAAAAACACATTTTTTGAATAAAACGTTTACATGAATTTCTCTATCAATAAATTCATAGACTTGGTTATCAAACCGTGTACCCGTAGATTACTTAAATACCTACAAACTTTCTAAAAAATAAAATGAACACAATTTTTGAATAAAACAAAATAATAACTAAACAAAACTAGAAAACGTAATTTTACTGCATCACAAGCAAATAAAAATTAATATGTAGCCAAGAGTCATAACTCAGGATTTCTCTGGGGGGTGCTCAGTAATACCAGGGGGGGGGGGGCTAGGCCCCCCCTTGCGCCCCTGTAGTTACACCAATGTCAATAAAGTTGTGTAAGTCACTTCTCATTTTAATAATAAATAAATAAACATATTATTAATTGTTATAATTTCAGCAAATTATCACAAAATATAATCTATAAATAAAGGAAATATTTATAAATGTCAGTTCTTTATTTATCTCCTTAATAAATAGAAATAATAAACAACAAATTCAAGCAGGAAGAACCACACTGCTCTAATTTAAGCTAATTAATATTTCTTTTCAAAATGTTATAAACCAGTCCAGTGTCTTCATTTATTTACAAAAAATATTAATGGGTTCCTGGTTGGAGTTTGTGGTCCTATTACCATTTTTAAACCATCAAAATTCACCATGCAAATAAATTCTGTTTTTTTCTTTGAATTATTATACTATATGATTAAGTTAATCGTATGAATTATGGGTTTTATCGCACCCAGTAGCAACAAAGTTGATGCTATTTAATACAGATTTAATATCAGCTTTAGTATGGTGATACAAGGATATACGTAGTTTAAAATATAGAGTAGTTTTTTTATAAGAAGATGGCATTGCTTTGGTTTCTTTAATTATTATTGAAGCTGCCAATTTTTTTACTAGTTTACCATGATATCTTAACAATATACAGAGTTGGATATAAAGATATTCCCAATATTCCGTGGCCAAAGAACAACTACGTATGCTTGGAATCAAAATAAGTCCATTGGTTGATTGAACAGGCAAGTTTTTACTGCTAAAACTACATATAAATAATTCTGAAATAAGAATTTCCTAATATAAAATTTTCCTACCATAATATAATTCAAATTAATCAAAAATCTACGCAATAATTATGTTCGAATCGCTATTAAACATTTTACAATTATAGACATATAACTTGTAAAGATAATCGAATCTGTTGTTGCGGTTCAAAGGCTAAATTAAACACTTTCAATGAAAAGTAACTACCAGAGAAGAATTATACGAAAAAAAAAACAACATAAGTAGGAAAGGTCAGTTAGCACTGGCTATTCATAAAGATAAACATCTAAAAAATATGCGTGCAAGTTTTGTAACTGTCTGTAAGTTATTTATTTCACAAAGTAAATACCTTGAATGGTATAATTTTATATCCTTCTATATCAATGAAATTAAAAACTATATTAACCAAAATGAATATTTTAAATAAGAATTTATCAAAAATAAGTCAAATATGAAGAAGATCTTCCTCTTCATTTCTGAGACAAATCTAACTGTAGGTACTTTATTCTACTATACACTGCTCTAGTCACTTACTAGCGAAAAGTTTTTTGACCGAGATCTACCGCACGCTACACAACCAACTACACACACCGGAAAAATCTAGGGATATCATTTTATTAAAGTTAAAAATAAATGTTTTGAATAAACAACCACATATTTGTAGGCCGATTCTTTCTACTTCGACTGAAACGAAGTAGTCACACTAGTTATTTCTAAATTTGGGATATTTATAGAAGTGTTTGTGCATTTTTTGTCAAATGTATAAAAAGCACTAGATCAATTGTTCGAATTTAACCTGTACCGGCTATGTTTTTATGATAATTGGTCAGAATCCATTCAAATAACTCTGTTTAGTATTAAACGACATTATGGAGCGTAGACATCTTAACAGAGACGAAATGCTAAGGGCCATGGGTATGCTCGAAGCTGGAATGCGCCTTATAAGGCAATTTTAACAGTTACTATAGAAAAATAATTATTTTTATGATGTATATAAGTATGCACTGTTAGTGTAACCACAATTTATCGATACATTCCTCAAACAACTATGTTATTTTGATTGTTTTTAAATATCAACATCGCCCGTAGGAACATCAATAATTAATTAAATTTGACTGAACCCATCTCTATATCTGGCAGGCGTGACAATAGAATCAAGACCGTTCAAACAGAGTGAGAAGATCAAGATCGTTTTTGAAGCGGTCCCGACCCTGATGGAATGTCGATTTCGACCATTTCCGAATTCTGACATTTTTGTGTATCATCTCACGTAGGTTTTTCGAAAAAATAGGTGGGGTTTCGGTATATAAAATGGGTTTGATCAAAAATGATCATCATCACACGACAAGTGATCTTCTTCTAGTGACATACTGACTCAGCAATATCAATATGCAACAGGTAAGATTATTACTTAGGTTTCTTATTAATATATGTTTTTTGTTATATTCAATAGGTAACATACTTTAATTAAGTATTTGAAAAAAACTTAATAAATCTCAAGAAAACAAGAAAAATCTAACTTTAGTAAAATCCTACAATAAACCCCTCTAATTTTATTGTTATAATTCTACAGAAAACATACACACTCTATTCTAGTACTGTGTTCTTATATAGATACAGAGTGAGTTTTAGTGCAAATATTTTTAATCCACGAGGTTTTTTTCACTAAATTTTTTTTGGAAAATTTGGAATTTTTTAATAAATTTTTGGATGTTTTTTTAATTTTTAGTTAAAAAACATAATATATTCATAAATGGCAACATAGGTAATAGATTAAATTTACAAGAAAGAAAACCCAGTAAAGATCGAGTGGTTCTCAAAATTTAAGCAAAAAATATATTTCAAAGTAAAATAACTCGGTCACATTGGCGTAATTACAGGGGGGCCCGGCACCCCCGGGCACCCCTGTAATTACACGTACTGCTGGGCACCCCCCAGAGAAATCCTGAATTATGATTTTTGGCTACGTATTAATTTTTATTTGCTTGCGATGCAGTAAAAATGACGTTTTCTAGTTTTGTTTAGTTAATATTATTTTGTTGTGTTCAAAAAATGTGTTAATCTTTATTTTTTTAGAAAATTTGTAGTTATTTAAGTAATCTACGGCCAAGTCTATGAAATTTATTGATAGAGAAATTCATGTAAAATGTTTTATTAAAAAATGTGTTTTTTTAAATTATTTTTCATTTTTAAAAAAATAAAATCTCTAGGCCCCCCCCCCCTGGGCTCAAGCCCAGGTCCACCCCAGAATAAATTGCGAATTACGCTAATGCTCGGTTATTTTGGACTTGTTTGAAAAACGCTGGAAATGTGTTATTTAAAACTTTTACCCTTGTATACCGGGTGCGTCTCAAAAATGGCTCACACCTATAAGTTTTTTATTTTTTCAAATAGAAAAACGAGCTTTAGTATGTTAGTATATAACCTAAATTAGGATTGATTGACGTGTTCAATTGTTCTCGGCTACTTCCTGTTTCACCGGAAATAACTACAACTTTTGATTTTTAAATGACAAACTTGCTATTTTTTTAATTTATTCGAAAGAAAATGACACTCTGAATAGAATGACATATCAACTTTTGACATTTTTACATATGGTTTATTTGAAATTGTAACATGAAAATTTAACCCGAAATACCAAGTGCGTAGTACCAAATTATTTTTAAAAAATTATTTTTCCAAATATGCTAATGTGCCACGGGCATCTTTTAACCGACCAGGCAAGACACGAAAAACATTAGACGATCAAATATATTTTTCCAAGGCTTCTTCATTAAAAATTAGTGTTTTTAACACAGCCATGGCACTCTAGATTAAAATTTAAAATACAATTTTTTAAGCGAAAATGTCAAAAGACATTCTATTCAGAGTGTTATTTTCTTTTTAATAAATTGTACTGAAGCTGTGGTTGGTTCCTTGTGAAACATCGTTGAAATATTAGTATTTTAATAAAGCACGCTTTTAGATGTTTCAAAAAACTTTTAATAAGAGTAACTTTAACTCTACATATATGTTTCGGCTTGTTAGGCCTTTTTCAAGAGTTTTTTAAGAACTAATCGTCTAACTACACTGTAACTATATATATATTTGCTATTGGGGTGGGTTCAGAGAGTTTACAATAGGAGTAATAAAAAATGTGTTTAGAAATCCTTGTTGGTCGTTAACATTATTTTCGTTTTTAACAGATTTTAGTATGTCTAACTGTTCAATGTAATTTAAGCGTCTACCTTTTGTTTCTCTGTGTAGTAAGTTAATTGAGTTTTCATTAATTTTGTGATTATTTACTATACAATGAGTTGCAAGACCAGAACTATGCTGGAGATTATTAATAAACTTTACATGTTCTTTAATCCTTATATCTAAATTTCTACCTGTTTGGCCTATGTACACGGCATCACAATCATTGCAATCCACCCTATATACACCCGACTTATTTTTGACATTAGTTTTGTCTTTATTATTTAATAAAATTTGATCTAAATTTCTTTTATTTACGTTAATAGCTTTACATCCTATTTTATTGAGATTATTTGATATTTTGTTAGTTAAATTAGGAATGTAGTTTAAAAATCGATAATTGTTATTGTCTTTAGAATTAGCGGAATAAAAATTTTTCATTAATATTTTCTTTTGTTTTTTCTTTAGCATATTATCAATAAGGGAACACTTATATCCATTGTTGATGGCGATTTGTTTAATAATATTTAACTCTTTTTTAAAATTCTCTGGGCTCAGTGGAAACATTACTAATCTATGAATTAAACTATGAATTTTTCATTTTCTATCGAAAAAGTAGAAAAATATCGAGGGTGCCATTTAAAAATCAAAAGTTGTATTCATTTCCGGTGAACCAGGAAGTGATCAAACACAGTTGAATACGTCAATCAATCTTAATTTATGTCATATACCAAATCTCGTTTTTTTATCTGGAAAAATAAAAAAGTTATACCAGCTTTCGAGACCCACCCGGTATATCGTTCTTATACACAATACTTAGTCCAAATGGCTTCATGAATTAATGACTATTTCTTATAATTTCTCAAACTATACATAAATATTATAAATCTTATAAACTGTTCTTCCATAGATATAAATCTTTTATCTATTTAATTCGAATTGCATAAGACTGGTACAATAACTGTCCAAAGCAAGATGCATAAATTCATCCTATAGTAATGTTCCTTCCAAATAATAATTAATCAATTTTGTTTTTATAGCCGTTTTTGATATTTATGTCTGGTGATATATTCCATTATAGACTTTATTACTACACCACTAACCCAAATAAATGGCTTTAAACGATTGTTTAAATCAAATATACAAAAGTATCCTATATAAATGAATGTATTTAGAAAAAATCTGCAACTTTATAATATGTCGCAATCAAGATAATTTATTAAATCAAACTGCAAAAATTAAAAAAATATATTGTTAAAATTGCCTTATATCTATCAAAAATAGTAGATAAAATAGTACTTTAACCACAAGGGTAGATTAAATGATACTTTAACAGCGAGGATAGGTTAAAAACTTTATTTCTTCTGGCACGTTTTTTAATTGCTTCCATTTTTGAAAAATGTTGTATTCCTTTTCATAAGTTATTCGGGATTTAAATTGAAGTAGTTTGGATATGGCGTTTGTCGACCCAGCCTGAACATCTGTTGGTAATTTACTTATTTCGTTTTGAGTCATTTCTGGCTCGAATTCAATCAGCAATCCACACGAAAGAGAATTAAAAAATATTGACTCAAAACTGGCAACTAAAGAGACAGTTTTATTTATTTGTCAAAGTACATAGAAACCAATGCCAACCCAGCACAATATTTTTCTACTTCAAGTAATAAATTCCTTGAAATAATAATTTCTGAATATTTTTTAAAACGTAACTCGCTGTGGAAAAAAAATATTGTTTTATACACGACGATAGGTATAAAAGATAACTATTTTTTTTTCAAAGAAGTTACTTTTTTAGTAACATTTAATACTAGATTCAATCTACTGAGGTATTCATCGAGGAGACAGTGTCCCCTTGAAGACCCTGCGACGATCCAAAGATTTGGTTTATTTAAATCAAGGAAATCAAGGATTTTTTTTTATTTTTCTGGATCGTAAATTCTGAAATTTTTTTAGTTTAGTCCAGAACGTTTAGTTCAAGAAAATAAATCTTTTTAAATACGAAGTTTTGGTAAAAACTTGAATTTTTTATATAAGTTACTTTGAAAGATTTAAAAACGAATTGTAAAAAATGTTTATAAATTCAAACCCGAGAAGGGGTGAAATAAATAAATAAAACTATTTTTTCAAAATTTCTGAGAAACAGTGAGAACTAGGAAAAAAAGTTCAAATAAAAGTTGTAGAGCGTCAAATTTTACATAGGAATGATCTCTATACTTTTTTTGCTCAGATCAAAATTAACCGAGATTGGGTGGCTAGAAGCTAGGGGATGATAGTGGAAATTTAAAGAAAATTAAAAGTTGCTGAAAAATTCATATTATATATTTAACGTTTTTATTCAATTTGTTTGGAAAATTATAAATTTTAATTAAGATTTTTTAAATTCACCCCGAGAAGAAGTGAAAAATAAAATTAAAGTGTTTTTTTCCAAATTTCAAAAAAAAACGGTAAGGACTTTTAACAATTTTTTTTAACAAATGTTTCAATGTCCCCTAGCTTCTAGCTACCCTTTTTTTATAGATGGGAAACGCCTTTAGCGCCGGAGTGTGGGAGTCCCTCATGCGGGAGGGCCTACCCACTAAAAACCCATCTGTGCTCTAAGCTCGCCAATCTCGGTACCGCCGAAGGCATTTCATCAAGCTTAGAGACTTATCATTCTTCTATGTTGGTCTTGTCTGTACCCAGATCTTGTCTTTTTCGACCTTCGCCTTTTTCTTCATAATGTTCCTTAACATGCCGCAAATCGCTTCGATATTTTCATTCGATGTTGTTAGAAGGTTTCCGACGTTTACTCTAGTAATCTTCGTACCACATACTGTTTCTGCGTTTTCCCGTAAATTTTCGTATGCGTGACACTCAAATAGTGTGTGGTTAGCCGAGTCTGACACCTCGCAATACCAGCCTTGCGTGCAGATACTCGCCAAATACTCCATGGCCAGTCATCGCTTGCGTGATATAGTAGTCCGTGTTTGCTTGGTCGCATTTTATCCAATCTTTAATATTGGGTATGAAAGTCTTCGTCCATCTGCTATATGCTTTCCATTCCCATCGTGTCTGCCATTGCTCAAGTACTTTTGCTCTTGCTCCGGAAGGAAGTTCCATTTTGATATATTTGATTTCTTTCCTGGATCAGTAGACTGACTGGAGGTATCTTCGCAAGACTCAGTACAGCTACTGTTGGACATATGCAGTATGCCGTTGCAACCTTGAGTGCTTCTATTTATCCTTTCTAGCATGTTTTCGTAATGCTTGAAGCGCATGGATCTGTCCCAGATCGGCGATGCGTAGAGTATGGTCGAATGAACTACCACCCTATCTCACTCACCCTATCTCAGTTAATTTTGATTTGACCAAAAAAAGTATAGAGACCATTTTTATGTAGAATTGGAAACTACAACTTTTACTTGATCTTTTTTTTTTTTTAGTCCGTACCGTTTCTCCGAAATTTCGATAAAGTAATTTTATTTTACTCCTTCTCGGGGGTAAATTTAAAAAAAAATCACAATTCATTATATGGCTATATGGCCAATTCACTATATGACTATATCACCCTGACTATATGTCCAGTCCAAACCTGTATTAATATAAGATTTATTTTATTTTTCAGACCATTGTCATTTCCGCCATCTTGGGTTTCGCCGCTTGCGCCCAACTGAACAACCTTTACCTCCCTCCCAATCCTTCCTCCGCTGGTTCCCTAGGACCCAACAATGCTCCATTTGGAGGCGCTGCCGGTAGAAGTACCGGAGGTTCGTTCTCTACCAATCCCTTAAACAACGTACCTATCGTTAAGTTCGCTGCCGAAAATGAAGGTGAAGGAACTTACAGGTAAATAAAGGCTTTTTTGCAATCTATACTAATATATAAAATCCTTAAGTGACTGACTCACTGATTAATCACGATCCAGCTCAAACCACTCAACGTAAGAAGCTCAATTTTGGTATACAGGTTGATTCTATTGTGTAGAGGTTCGATGAGAAGGGATTTTTCTAAATTCCAGTTCCAAGGGGGTGAAACCACCCCTCAAATATTACAATATTTGTTATTTAAAAAACGGTCAAGTTTCCGAAAAAACGCTTAAACACGTGTATTTTATTTTGTTTTTTTACATATTTTAAGATTTTTAAAAAATGTATACAGGGTGTTTCAAAAAATCTGGTCATTGATTAATCACGATCCTGCTTAAAGCGCTTGACGTAAAAATCTGATTTTTGGAAAACGGATTGACTGTAGGGTGTAGAGGTTCGATAAGAAGGGATTTTTCGAAACTCGAATTCTAAGGGGGTGAAACCACCCCTCAAATATTAGAATATTTTTTATTTAAAAACCGGTGAGTTTTTCGGAAAAACTCTTAAACTCGTATATTTTATTTTGTTGTTTTACATATTTTAAGATTTTTTAAAAATTTAAACAGGGTGTTTCATAAAATATGACCATTGAGTAATCATCACGATTCCGCTTAAACTGCTTGACATTTAAAGCTGATTTTTGGTAAATGGATTTACTGTGAGGTGTAGAGGTTCGATAAGGAGGGGTTTCTCAAATCTCAAATTCCAAGAAGGTGAAAACGCCCCTCAAATATTACAATATTTGTTATTTAAAAAACGGTTAGTCTTTCGGGAAAACGCTTGGACACGCATAATTTATTTTGTTTTTTATATATTTTGATATTTTTAAAAAAAATCATACAGGGTGTTCCAAAAAGTTGGGTAAATAATTAACCAGGTTTCAAAATAAACTGCTTGACGTAAAAAGCTTATTTTTGGCAAACGGATTTTTCGAAAGTCAAATTCCAACGAGATGAAACTACCCCTCAAATATTACCAAGTTATATAATAATATCCCCATATTGTTTTTTCTCATGCTGACATAAATGTGAGAAAATTTTATCATCACCATTACAAACGATTAATTAGGCGCGAACAAAGTCGTAAAAAAATATTTCTTACACTCGTAACTGATTTCAAGTAAACGAACCTTGAGCCTCGAACCTAACCTAACAGTTGAATGAACAAAATTTCAAAATATAATCCATAAAAATAAAGAAACATTTCATTTTCAGATACAACTACGAAACAGGCAACAGCATCACCGCCGAAGAACAAGGTGACGCTCGTGGTGATGGTACCAAAGCCCACGGTTCCTACTCTTACACCAACCCCAACGGAGAACACGTCTCGATCACCTACACAGCTGACGAGAACGGCTTCGTTCCCCAAGGATCCCATATCCCCACTCCACCCCCAATTCCCGAAGCTATCCTGAAAGCCCTCCAAGAAAACGCAGCTGCTGAAGCTAGAGGAGTCTTCGATGATGGTCAGTACCATGGAGAAGGTTTGAGTGAGGCACAGTATCATGGGGAAGGTCTAGCTGAGGCAGCTGCAGGTGCTGAAGCTAGTGGAAGAGCTGGAGCTGGAGCTAGTGCTAAAGCTGGAGCAAGCGCTGCGGCAAGGTATGCTGCCAATGGTGGTTACAGATATTGAGTCAAGAAGAACTGAGTTGTACAAAATCTTAATTTATGAAATAGATATAACACCCAATAAACACCAATTAAAAAATACGCAGTTGTTATTATTTTCTTTGTATATTATAAGTAACTATCTATCTACAGGTTAAACCAATTAATGTATTGACCATACTATAGAAGAATAGTATATTGTCTTATTAGGAGTAAAAATGATACTTTTTGTAGCGAGGCTGTATGTTTGACATACAGGCGAAGGCAAAAAGTCATTTCTACTCGGAATAGAACATGCTATTTTTTTTCAAACGCCACAAATAATTTTTTAAACAGTTTTAAACGGTCCAAATAATATAAAAAAAATTAAAAGTAATACCTTATAAGTAATAATACATAATAATACAGGGTGTCCCAGAAATAAGTGCAAGTATTTTAAGGGGTGGTAGATCTCGATAAAAGAAACATATTTTCTCTTTATCGTTTTTCAAATAAGTCAAAAATAACGGAGTTATTTTACATTGAAAATTTTCAAAAAAAATGATTTTTTGCTAAAATTTTGAGAACCACTGGATCTTTTCTGGATTTTCTTTCTTGCAAATTTAATCTGATACCTATGTTGCCATATTATCAAGAAATTATGTTTTTTAACTAAAAACTAAAAAAAATTCCAAAAAATTCTTCCAAAAATTTCGAATTTTCAATTTCTTTTTCAGGAAAAAAGCCCCCTAGGCGTGTTTCTGGGGTTGAGCTATACTACCAGTTAAAATACTTGCATTTATTTCTGGGACACCCTGTATATCGAGAAACTTGACACTGTATGTCAGTTTAATAATATATTTTCGAACGTTTAGCTAGGGCTTTAGGCGTAAAAGTGCTTTACTTTTATGCCTAGGCATTAATGTGATTTTTTATATTGTCAATCACGTCGCAAAAATTAATACCTGTGTGACGTTTGAAAAAAAACATACATCAGTAACTATAACTACTCTTTCTAGAAATGTAAATACCTACGTTTTAAATATTATTATTTAAATATTTCTTGAACTAGTACTTCTTAAAAAATAATAAGTATAGGAAATGCCACAGAATTTCAAACAAAAATGTCAGTATGACAGATACCCTTGAAATCAATAATTTTGGGATAGGTAGCCTAATCAAAAATAGGAGGATCTCAACAAACAAAATCAAGACAATTCAATAAGAAGATGTACAATGTACCTAGCATTGAAAAAAATAATTGCGAACTTTATATATTGTCTGAAACATCCTTGTAATAAAAATTTTAAAAATTACTTATCACTGTTTTAAATTATTGTTATCTATTGTAATTATTTCGACAAAATAAATTCTTCTAAAAAGTATTGAATTAAAAATTCGTTTTTAATTCAATACTAATAAAATTTCATTGCACATACATTTATAAATATTAGAAGTAGATATACATATAGCAGCAACATATCAGAAACATGACCAAAAGCTTTCGTCAGGGATGTTGTCTATCGCCAACTCTCTTCAAAATCTACCTCAATGAAGCCTTAAAGAAATGGAGAAGATCCTGCAGTGGAATGGGAATAAAACTAAAAAATGACACCTACTTATATACTCTTCATTTTGCAGATGACCAAGTGGCAGTGGCCCAAGATAGGGAAGACCTTGAATTCATGGCGAGGAAACTTTTTAAAGAATACGCAGAGTGGGGATTAACTGTTAACTGCAGTAAAACTAAATATATGTGTATCGGTATAGAGGGAACAGATTTAGAAGTGGACAACAGCTGCATAGTACAATATTGTTCAGATTATACCTACCTCGGAACAAAGATTAGCCAAAGTGGACGAACTGAAGAAGAAATATTGGAGCGAATAATTAAAAGGAAAAGAGTTATAGGATGCCTAAACTCACTATTATGGTCAACAAACATCTCTATCGAAAGAAAACACCTTTTTTATTATTTATTATTATTTACACACTAGAAAGCGGTATAAAAATACCGAATAGTCTACTGTCTTTTTATGTTGCGCGTAATTTTTTCGAGTTTACTGGCCGTAATGCAAATGTACAGAACTCAAGATATTCATTTCTTGATCAATTTTGTTTTTAAATGAGTTGAGAGTTGGTACTGAAACACTTTCTTCTGACAGCGAGTTCCACGGGTACACTATGCGGTTAGTCAAAAAAATTTTTCGCTGGAGTTTGGACGATCTTTCCTTTTCCAGGCGTCTGCTGTGGCCTCTAAGTTGTGGAGTTTGGCAAGGATGGTATATATTTAATGGGCAAGTGTAGAAACAATTTAGAATTTTGTAAGTCTCTATCAAGTCCCCCCGCAAACGCCTCTGTTTTAATGTGGTGAGATTTAACATCGCAAGACGATCTTCATACTCTAGATCCTTAAGTTCATGGGGCATTTTTGTCACCTTGCGTTGAATTTTCTCGATGAGATCAATATCCTTCTGAAAATAGGGACTCCATATTATTTGACCATATTCTATTTTGGGTCTAATGTAGGACTTGTATATCTTTAAAATAAGATCAATAGAGCGGTCTTGAAATGCTCTTTGAATGAAATAAAGAAGAGAATTTGCTTTTTTAGTAATCTTTGATATATGCACATACCATTTTAGGTTTCCAGTAACTGTAATCCCTAGATCTTCCTGTTGTTCTACATGTCTTAGACTTAATTCATTTAGGGTGTAGGTTTTGTGCGTACAATTCATTCCAATGCTAAGAACAGTGCATTTGTCTTCATTCAGCTTCATTCTCCATTGTTTGGCCCAGGATTCCACCAACTTTAGATCATGCTGAAGATTGACGTAGCTCGTTGGGGATTTGCATATAACTTTGTATCATCCGCAAAAAATATGATATTCGTTTTTATGCCTCTTGCCAGATCGCTGATATATAGGAGGAACAACAGTGGGCCCAACACAGAGCCTTGAGGAACACCGCTGGTTACTTTGTGTTTAGTTGAAAGAGATCCGTTTATTCTGACTTGGAAGTAGCGTCGGGTTAGGAAGTTTGATATAAGTTTGAATAAATTATATTATAATATATATAATAATTATATAAAGAAGCATCTTGTGGGGTACTTTATCAAATGCCTTTTCAAAGTCAAGATAGATGAGTACCAGCAATTACAATGCAATATTTAAAAGTGTTGTACTGTATGGATGTGAAACCTGGCAAATAAATAAAACTTTAGAGCGTAAACTACTGGCTCTTGAAATGGATTTTTGGCGAAGATCTGCCGGAAAGTCAAGAATAATTAGAGAGATCATGTGCGTAAAGAAAACTATCCTCGATGAAATCGAACAACGCCAACTAATATGGTATGAACATGTAGAGAGAATGGCTGACGAACGTCTACCAAAACAAATCCTAAAATGGACACCGGCGGAAAGAAGAAAGAAAGGAAGACCTAAAGCTACCTGGATTGAGGGCATTAACCGAGCCATGTCCGAAAGAAATTTACTTCCAGGAGATTGGGAAGATCGGAGGCAATGGAGACTGGGAACCGGAAGGCGTAGAACGCTATAAAACCGGATATATAATATTAATAAGATATTAAGGTTTTTCCAATTAAAAAATCCAGAAGGTCAGACAACAAACTGATTCCGGTTTCCGATTTTTCCTTTCGAGGTACTAAACCTAAAAAATGTTAAGAAGTATTTATTTTGACCTGATCATATCTCATTTCAAAACAAATAAACTAGACGTTTAAAATAGAAAAAGACAACCTGAGAAAAACACACGGCTATGCTGCTCATTATCAATCGATTGTTATAATATGATTATATAACTCAAAATCTAGGTTAAAAGCCAGACAAATTCAGTAATGAACGCTTTATGCAATGCACAGTGTGAGAGAAAGAAACTATGATCTCAGATTTAATAATATTTACAGATGAGCACAGTGCAGGTACATATTGAAAAAGAGCGATCTAATATTTCAGAAACTTTGACTTCAAAAGAATTAATTTATTTTAGCTTGTGAAATAGAGTATAGATTTTGATTGAAATTTAAATTAATTTTGTGATACAGTTAAGAATAATTTATTATACAGGGTTGTTTACCACATACGACACAGAGTATTGTAGCTAAACGATTAGATTTTTACAAATTATAAGTTTTGGGTTCGTTAAAGGACTATTAGAGCTACAATTTAAAAATATTTTTACAAGATACAGAGTGTCCCAAATAAGTGAAACATATTATAGTTGTATTTTTTAAATGGAACACCCTGTGTATTATTCTGTTTTTAAATTCTACGATTGAAATAAAGCTAAATTTGGTTAAATGTATCACATTCAAACCTTACCGTTTTTCAAATATTTTCAATTTTGTGAAATTGCAGTAAAAAATTTAAGACTTCATTTCTCCAAGGGTATCAAAGTTTTTAATACTAAATATTTACTGAAGATTACTTAATGATCAGATATTGTGTTACAATAATAAAAATTATACTACCTTATACAGAGTGTCCAAGAATTTATATTAAATAACTACTAGCTTTAAACGACAATTACTTGATTCATTTAAATAGAACACCCTGTGTATTTTACGAGAATCAGATGCACAATTTAATTGTCTATCAAATTGCATTATATCATTTTTTACCTATCTCTTCAAGTTTTCGTAGAAAATGCATTCTCTTATAATTTAGACCTCATTTATTAATATACCCATGGAATATTGACATTTTAGATTATTTTTAAAGATGTAAGAAATTTTCAAAGAATACAGATACTAATATTGTCGATATAGTTCGGTTTTTTCATTAAAAACTGTTCAAATATTTTTTGTTAAAGAGGAACAATTAATATGTTTCCAGTATTCAAACTATATTAATATTAATAATATAATAATTGCTCCAAATACTAAAAAACTGATGTATGTAGTATAATTTTTATTATTGCAACACAATATCTGATTAATAAATAATCTTCAGTAAATATTTAGTATTAAAAACTTTGATACATTTGGAGAAATAAAGCCTTAAATTTTTTACTGCAATTTCACAAAATTGAAAATATTTCAAAAACGGTAAAGTTTAAGTGTGATAAACCATCAAATGTAACTT